GGGGGGGGGGGATTATAGTGAATTGGGAGGGGTTTTAAATGATTTGGGAGTGGCTTCAGGTAGGTGGGACAGATTTTGAGGGAACTAGGAGGGGCTTTAGTTAGGTGGGAGGGATTTAGATTAATTAAGAAGGGACTTATGTTAGGAGGAGTGGTTCTAAAGTGAACTGGGAGGCGCTTGTGTTAAGTGGAAGGAGTTTAGAGTGAAGTGGGAGGAGCTTTGGTTACGTGGGAGGGGTTTAGAGTGAACTGGGAGGGACATGAGTTAGGTGGGAGTGGTTTTAAGTGATTTGGGAGTGGCTTCAGGTAGGTGGGACAGATTCTGAGGGAACTAGGAGGGGCTTTAGTTAGGTGGGAGGGGTTTAGGGCAAACTGGGAGGGACTAGTTAGGCTGTAACTCCAGCTGGAGGTAAAGAGAGCAAATAAAAGACAGGAGAAAGAGAAACATTGGCTGGGATGTGCGGTACCTGGGGTCAGGTACACCGACCGTGTGGCGTCTCATGGACAGGTATCGGGCCATCGCCTCTGGACTGGGCTCTTCTCCCTCATCGCTGTCCAGAGCCATCGTCCCGTCCGTCTGAAACACACACAACACACACACACACACACACACATAGGGTCAAAAACAATCCGTCCTGCATCCTCACACTCCAGCCTGATTTATTCTCACTGACTGTGAGCTGAAAGCAGTGTCGCGCTCACCTCAACGATCTGATTCTCGGGGTTTATGAGCTGAACCTGCGGTACCGTCATACTGACAGCATTACTCTGATCCTGCAGGACACACACAAACACACGTGATGAAGCAGATCAACCAATAATGGACTAATGGTCCACTAATGGACTCTTCAGGACACAGTTTTTTTCAAAATGTCTATATAGTTTTTTTTAAGTTTTAGTTCATTTAGTTAATTATTTTAGTACTTTAACTTAAACTAAATTAAAATGTTGCTTTGTGAACTAGCTGAAATAAAATAAAATAAAAACCTTAAATTAATTTCTGTTAATATTTATTTTTTATTTTAAGTGATGAACTTTTACATAGTTTCGGTTTAGATAATAATAATAACCTTGGTGAAAGACGCGTCTTTATCATTATAAATAGATTTTCATCTAGCTGTCTTTTCATTTTGAATTGAACATTTCAAATCTGATCCAAATTCTGGCTGCTCGGACTGAAACTAATCCCTTTTGTAAGTGATTTCAGAGCAAATACAGAAAGAAAATGACTATCAGAAGGCTGAGAAACACTGTATCACATAACCAGAATCCTCTGACAACCCCACAATCCCCTTCCTCTAGAATCATCGTTAGTTCTACAGAAGCCCATGGCTCTGCATTCATACAGTATGTAAATGAGGCACTCTGGAGCTCATGCATATTCCTCTCATCAGGAATCAAAGGTTGCTAATGGTAACGGCACACACCTGCACGGCGTTGAGCGGGTAGAGGGGGCGGGGCGTGGGCGGAGCCACACACAGGTTCTTGTGCCGCTTGAGTTTGTCAGACAGCAGACTGTAGGTGGCGCTGTAGTGATCGTACGCATCGGTGTGCAGAGACTGAGAGGAGAAACACAACCATGTGAATGTTCCAGAAGAGCTCATCTGAATGAAGGAGGGGGTGTGTGTGTGTGTGTGTGTCACCTGTAAGGTCCGCTCACGGTCAAAGCCCATCTCTGACATGGCCATCAGAACCTGCTCGTTAATTAATTCCGTTTCTCTCTCCACCTTCACCTGCTCACATTCTGCTATCAGCTGACAGAGACACAGGCAAATCAGCAACATTTCTACACATTGTTAAGTAAAATACTGTATCAGGCCTAAGAACAGCTGACTGACTCGGTCAAACTCGGGGTCGGGGTCTCCTTGTCTCATCCACTTGTTCTTACAGATCTGCTCCATTGAAAGCCGTCGACTGGGCTCCAGAACCAACATGTGTCTGATCAGATACTCACAGTCTGAAACACACACAAACACACGTCAACCATGGGTCGTGGCTTGGCAAGACAAGTATGTGTTTGTGTGTGTGTGTGTGTGTGTGTGTGTGTGTGTGAGTGAGTGAACGAATGTCAGTATGCAAGTGCAATGTGTGTTAGGGATGTGCGCGACGACTAATTTGACTGACGTTTAAACGAAAGTTTTGTATCCGACTAGTCTAAAAGCAAGAAACCCCCAAAAGATGGTAAGAAAAAAAAACCTCTGTGCGTGCGTGTAGCATATATAATAGCCTATATTTGAAATACTTAATCTATGAATCACACTGTCAAATCCCTCAATGAATTCCACTTGCCGCACACTTGCCTCACGTTATCATCATTTCATTTTAGGCGGTCATAAAAAAAAAGAAAATAAAAAAAAAGAAGAGCATACACTCAACGTCGGCCAAAGCATAGTTTATTTATTCAAATCAGCTGGGGAAATGCAGAACAATGGAAAATCAATCAATAGCCTGACAGAATTCTTAATCTTCATATAACGTTAGCCAACATATTAAAACAAGTCAAAAACAATAGGAAGGTTTATCAAGAAATAGCATTAAAACGGCTTTTAAAAACATACTTCGTGTAGGCTATATTGACTAAAAAACAAATCAATGCCCATTTTACTTACTCAAACCATGCGTTATTTGTTCAGTGAAATTATCAACGTGGTCTGGTGAAAACACCCCCCCCGGCTGGCAGAGAATTAATTTGCATATATATGCTGCCACAAATAGAGTGCAAGTCTGTGGGAAACACTGTTACCCATATGTCCACTTTAGGTCCATCGTATTCTTTTCCCTCGAAGAGTTCGGGTGCAGCGTACGGAGGACTGCCACACCACGTCTTCAGCAGCTGTCCTCGAGCAAACAGATTACTGAAGCCAAAATCTGAGGAGACAGAGAGACGGCCAGGTCAAACTCACTCACTCACTCACTCACTCACTCACACAC